ACAATAACAACAGCAGGATCAGATCAACTGCATATTTTCCAGTGATTCTTAGACACCAAGTCTGAAAGATGTTTCCACGTGTCCAGATCAAAAGAAAACCAAAGACATACCTACGCTGTTTGGCACCTAAGATGAACATACTGTTCTCCAGCCTAAACTGTCATCTTCGGGGGTTTTGCTACAGCTTGTGATGCTTCAGTACCCTCCTGATTACACAGTGGATTGATTCCCACAGGACAGAGCTACAGATGTTTCCGAGCAATCATACAAAATTTTATTAGCTGAGACACCAATTAAGCTTTAATGAAGCAACTTGATTTAATAAATTACTAGTTTGAAACTGGAAGTCGTCATTAAAATCTTAGGGAGGACCATAAAAAATGCAGAAGCTCGGTTGGTGTAACCCAGTTCTGATTCCACAGAACACAGACTTTTTGCATTGGCCTGTTTCTCTGTTAAAAGTAGAAAAAGCAAGATTTTTCAAAGCAAGACACAACAATGTATTTCAAACAGTGAGGTGTGATGGAATGCTGGAATTAGTCAGGGTGTGTTTGGGCTTTTTGACAGCTCCTAGGCTACGTCATATTTAATTAACAGCTGGTGGGGGTTTAACTGACCGACTGGTGGGTCGCTCAGCACTGAGTCGGGTTTTTATGTTGTGCAGCATATTTAAACACACAGAACATTATATTAGGTTAGAGTGGGGATTATAAAGTTTGAAAAGACACTAAATATGAAGGCTGGAATTAAGGGAGTGTGTCTAAAATGATGCAAAGCAAGTTATGAATATTTATACTTGATGTGCAGCACATAGCTTCAGTGAGTCGGAGCTGCACCGTTTATGAACAAGAGGATTCTTCCAACCTTGAAGCTACTTTGTAAAGGTAACTGTGACATGGAGTTAAATGAGCTCCTTATTCTGACAGCAGGGAATTTGAGTTCTGCTCAGAAGCATGTTGCAGCAAGTGGGGAGACCCTGCTTTCATTTTAGACTCATTTTATCATTTGCCAGAATGTTCTCAGTGCTGAAGTGTGTGAAACTTGGTGCAAAGGTGGATCATGGACAACGGACAATAAGTTTTGTTGCAGCTCTGTATCACTCTGTTTAAGACATACTGCTTTGGCCTTGACTCAGAGGACTGCACACTCTGAGTGTCCTTTCAGGTGGATTGTATAAAAACATTTTAAATGACCATCACAATTTTTCAGACCTAAAACTAACATCTTCATACGGTTTTTTTCTAACAAAATGTAGCAGATTAAGGTTACTATTAATTAAAACAAAGCCACGTTTGATCTGGAACTAAATAACGCTGCGAGACAAGTGACTTGATCCTGCACACGGTTCTCGATTGGACTGATATGAAGTCACAATCAACTAGTAAATTAATCACTTTGATAATTGATTGTCATTTATCAAGTGAAAAAAATAGTAATAATCACTAATTTTAGGCATGTTTTCTTCTATCTTCTTTTATTGTATAGACCCAACCATTAATTCATTAGCTGAAATGATCATATTTTCTGTTGCAGCCCAAGATACCGATTCATTTTTCACTTGATTTTGACATCTAAATAAACATTTAATACATCCAAATCCTTGTCAAACCCCTTAACTCCATGCTGATTAAACCCATCAGTGACAGATGAAACTCTGCATTTCACAGTAAGCCACAGTTTGTATTCTGCTATCTGTGGTGACGTGCCCACGCTGGTGCACTGTCAGCGACGCGTTTTACGTCAAACAGCAATGACAAAATGAACCTAGAAGGTGTCCAAGAGAAGTGTCTGATGTTCCAGATAAATGAAAAAAAAAGCTTTACAGGAAGGGATACAGTCTAAGAAAGTAACTGCAGAGGCGCTGTTGTAATTACTCTCGTTGTCAGAAGGTGGAGACAAAAGTTCTGCACTGCAGGTTCAACAATGAATCAATTCATCATCCGGGCTCAGATGTGTTTTGGTTTTCCAACAATAAAGTCTCATAAAGCCGTCAGGCGCCATCAAACACACCGCAAGAGGCAGCAGGTACTACAGATTCTGAGGTTCAACTCTTGACGAACAAACACGGCAGTAAACAGCAGAGCAGCAGCCTCTCCCAGTCTGTGTTTACCTGCACAGTAATCTCACAGGTGTGTTCTCAGACTCTGACCACAATCACAGCAGGACTTCAGAAAAAAAAAAAAAGATTTCTTTGAGCTTTTTATCAGCAAATAGAAGAAACACTCCAGGTCAGGATGTTTTGTTTGAATTAAAACCCAGACTGTGCATAACATTCATTTTTCTGAAGTGCTTGGTTTCTTAATGATTAGTCAGCTGATGGAAAATTAGGCAGCAACTGCTTTCACAGCTGATTGATCATTAACGAAGCGAAGACGATGAACAGTCCGCGCCTCCAGCTCTTGTTGAATGGGAGGATTTCCTGCCCTTTCCGTGTCACAAACAGAGCGTCATAATAGAGGTTAGGACAGAAAAACAAGCGAGGTGTTTAGACATCACGCTGGAATTTTTCAAGCTGCATTCCTGCTGGTTGGATGCGGCTCTCTGGAGGATCTCCTGCAGGTCAGAACCTTTAAGGCCCTCTGACTCCCAACACAGGACGGCTGGGAGTGATGCTGGCTGAGACTCACTCACAAATGAGCCTTAATCTGCAACCAAGCAGCAAGAAAGCACTTCCTGAGAGAGCTGCCCTCAGGTTGGAGCATGCACCCAGAGCAGGAATGAGAAAGAACAAGGTGGTGGAGCAACAAGCCCACAGATAAGAGTGCATGGCCTGGCTGTGGACAGAAACAGCAGTAAACCCCCCACCTCTCTCTCTCCTCTCTGCTTATGATAAGGTATGCAGCAGGAGTTGCGAAATCCCTCCTGGCTGCAAGGCTTTACAGATAGACTCCTGCTGTTGTCTTACTTAACCCTGGCCTAGCGCAGCACACAGTGTGTCGACGGAAAACAATAGCAGGGCAAAGCAACTCTCTGAGGGATGTTGGAGGGTTTTTTTTTATTCTGGAAAGTCTTCTGTGTGTGTGTGTGTGTGTGTGTGTGTGTGTGTCAGCTGTCAACTCACCCACAGATCTGTTCCCCAGTCCATGTCTGCGAAAGTTCAGATGTCTGAAGAAACGCACAGATCCGCTCCTGTTTGGGGTTTTAAAAGCAAAGAAAGAAGCCACCAGGTGGAGAGGAGGAGGAGCAGGAGAAGTTAAAAAAAAAAAAAAA